ACAAGTGTAAGAAACTCGTGTAAGACCCGAGTGTAAGACACTTAATAATATCAGCCTATTTCTTAGCTATTCGTGCTATTACTTTCAGCTTACAAAAGTGTATCTCGCAGCAAATGCATTTTAGCTGTTGCAATTAACTCTTAGCAGTGACGATAAAGTTCTGACTACCCACCGAAATTTAGCTGTTCTTACTAAGTCCTTTTTCTGCGTATGGCGCTAAAGTAACTTTCAATATCTATAACTCAAAAAGTACTTAGTACAAAAATGCTTACTTATAGTAATTTGAAAAGGTCTCGAACTAAGCTACAAGAATATGCAATTAAAACGAGGGAGTCTCATTTCAGATTTTTATGCTGACCTTGATAAAGCTTCTCAAGGTCATTACAAGGTTTAAAAAACTATCTTTACTTTTTCTCTACGTGCTCCAGAAACTGACCTATTTTATAGCGTGTTCGACTGGCTCTGGGTTAATCGCTCCGAGAGCGATTAATGACGTCATAAGTCTCTACTAGCCAATCATAAAGTTTATAAGTACTTGCTCGACCAATAAACGTAGGCTGAATAATCCAGAGTGGGTTAACCCAGAGCCAGTCGAACATGGACGCCCCTTCCGCGTATAGGCCTATCTGCCTACTGAACGAGGTGGGCAAATTCTTCGAAAGAATTATTGTGTTCCGCCTCGTCCGGCACCTCTCTCGGGAGGGCCCGGACTTGGGCGACGCTCAATATGGCTTCCGCGTGGGCCGCTCCACGATAGACGCGATTCTCCGTGTGAGGGCCTTCGCGGAGGAACAGGTGGAACAGGGGAGGGTAGTGATGGCAGTTTCGTTAGACATAACGAATGCATTTAACTCCCTCCCCCTGGGACCGGGTGTAGGAGGCGATGCGATTCCATCGCTTCCCTCTCTACCTGGTCCACATAGTCCGGGTTTATTTCCGAGGGAGGGAAATAAACCGGCGCGGGGCCCTCCTGCTCTGGAAAAAGCAGCTGGGGGGGGGGGGCAACGTGCCAGGCAGGCGGACCATCGAGGCCATCCGCCCCTGTCTACTCGAATGGGTTGACAAGGCTCACGGCGGGCTAAAGTTCTACCTGACGCAGGTACTCACCGGACACGGCTGTTTCGGGGAGTACCTGTGTCGCATAGGTAAGGAGCGTACGGCGCACTACCACCACTGTGCAGCCGGTCGGGACACCGCGCAGCACACCCTGACCGAGTGCCAGGCGTGGGCTGTAGAGCGGGACATCCTGACCGCAGTGGTGGGCAGAGACCTCTCGCTTCCGGCCGTGGTCAAGGCCATGATCGGAAGCAAAGAGGCTAGGGAGGCGATGGCCTCCTTCTGTTCCACCGTCATGGGGCAAAAGGAGGCCGCTGAAAGAGTCAGAAGGAGGGAGGCTGAGGTTGTCCCACTCCCTCCCTCCACCTCTTGCTCGGAGGAGGACGAGGCGGATGAGGTGCCACGGAACGACGTAAGGCGGGGTCGCAGGTGGCGCCCCCGCCCCCTCCCGCCCACCTCAAATACAGACAAAGGCAAGGGGGGAACCCAAATTGAGTGTCCCCTCCCTCATGGGGGAAAAGCCCCTTCCCGGCGCCGCGGCCGGGGGGGGATGAGGACACTCCACCCCTATACTTAAACAACCCCCCCAAATATTCACCCTTCATTCCACCGCCCACCTACCACCCTCACTGCTGTTTGCTTGCTTGCGCGCGCGCGGGCTCCCCCTCTATTCGTGCGCTGCGTGCGCGCCCCCTTCCTGCTATTTCGGGTGGGGAAAGGGCCTCACACCCCCCATCTTTCCCCTATAACATTCTCTCTCCTCTTTCCCACCATACCCCCCCAGAGATGTCCCCATTCCCTCGCTCGGCCACCCGCCTGCTTGGATGGGCCAGTTCGGAGTCACGAAGACTCAGGACGCGAGAGTGAAGCCCACCCCACTCGCCGAGAGGGACGGATGGGGGGCGCTTAGACGCTCTGGGCGTTCTCCGATCTCGGAGGCGCGTCCTTGGGCGCCTCCTTTCCCAGCCCCTCTGCGAGTGGTGCTGGTAACGTTCCCAGGGAGGGCCGACGGCAGGCGTGGACTCCTGCCGTCGGCAAACTCAGACCCCCCCCCCCACAACCAACGGGAGGGGAGCGGCGAGAGGTCGTGTGTCCGCCTGTCGCCGTACAAATGCCACGGTACGGCACAATCGGTGGGGCGGGTAACTGGCGGGGGCATACACCCCCGCCATCCTCCCCCCCACAGGGTAAGGAGCGCTGCAAGCGCTAGCGCAAGACGGCCCCCTGAAGAATGCCGAAAGGTGATGCCAGAGGGCCGCTCCATTGGCGCGAAGTGGAACACACTCAAGGGTTCTTAGTAGGTATACCTCCCCCCTCTTCTTAGAGAAGGGGAGGGGAGTCCCACATACCCCCGGAGACCTCCCCGGGTCTCCGGGGAATGCGTAATGCATTTTCCCCTGAGTTATAAAAAAAAAGAGCCAGTCGAACATGCTATTAGCTCAAAGTCTGAAATCATGAATTTATGCGTAAGAAACGTCATCTTCTCACCACAGAAACGTCGTCTCCTAATCATAGAAATGTCCGTTGACTATGTTTCTCCGTTAGATGGCGGGATGTCGGAGTGATTATCTAATTTACCGACTAGTGACTGTCATCGCGGCAATGTCAAGTGACAGTTTGCGTGTACGAGAATGGGGTTATATGTTTAATACATAATAGCTTTAAAAGTTGCGAAGTATGTTTACCGTAATTTTTAAGAAAAACTATGGAGTTATTAACAAGGATAATATCAGATACCGACAGCACAGGATATCCTATGGACATCCGTTTTCTGTCCATTTTTGGTCGAGATATCCATGGACCTTATAAGATGTCCATAGAATATACATTAGTGGACACCGGAGGGATATCTTGAAATGGACAAGTTTATACGTCCATATGCTATCCTTGTTATGGCACTCGCAGACCAGATTTTGTTGACAGTACTCTTCAAAGTTATGTAAATAAATATCATATCAACTGATAGATTTTTTAAACCACTTCTATATTTCTTAATCATTTTTTTTCTAAAAATTATTCGACAATAATTTTTCTAAAATTATTGTCGAAATATTTGACTGGTTCATTAGGGAGTATCCGCTACGTTGGAATGAGAGAGATACTAAAGTGAAATAAAAACAGGGAGGAAGCACCAAGGTAACGTTACCGAACGCACCTTAACTCGCTCCCTCTATCAACGCCATCTGCATATGTAATTCCATTTTCGATCTCTCCGCTGGCTGTTTGCTGCTTGCTCTGGCCGGCATGAAAATTTCTCCATTTTTCTGAAAGGTAATCCTGCTTTTTTTTAATGTACACAGAAAAAATTAAATAGTGTGCCATTAGCTTTATATCATCAAAACGATATAAGAATTAGATTTTTTTAACATCGTTTTATAAAGAATATATATAAAGAAGAAATCGATAATCTTGCGAAATGTGTTATGTTAATATTATTTAAAAAAAGTTTTTATTACATATTTGATGTTATTCGTCAAGAAAGTAACGTAGATTATAGTATAAAATATTTCTGATTAAACTGTGAAGTTTTCACGCTATAATTGAGGTTATATTTGAGGATATTATTTTTAGTTATGGAGATACGTCGTAAATATAAATCGTCTAAAACATAATTAATTCCATGTCGAATTAATGCCGAAAAACTAATATTGACATTGACTCTATATCGAATCAACTATATATTTCAGACTGGATTTATATTTGATACATACTTTCCATAACCAAAAATAATCATAGTGTGAGACAATTTCATAATTCAAACAGAAATGTACTTTTACCACCATTATACTTTATACCACCATTTTAAATAGAATAAATATTAATTTTAATTTAGAGATTAACGTTTAATATTGCTCTTTAGTGCAGAATTCAAAAGTATGTTTGAAAATAAATTTTCATTTTTTATATAGGATAAGAGTTTTCTAGGTAATTATCCAGTTTAGCGGCCTCACCTCCGATTTCGATAAAAGTAGGCTCAATCGACGCGTTTTTGCATGCCAAATAACTTTTTCTTCTGACAAAATCGTCGCTCTCTACTGCGAAGCGAGATATTAATAGACAAAGTTGAGGGCGTGTTAGGTTAGAAAATCTGTCATACCGTCTATCTCTAGCTATGTAACTGGGGGGCTTCGCCCCCCAGACCCCCGTATCACAGGGGTGGGGGCTACAGTCTTTTGTGAGAAATACATTCTTTAGCTTAATTAAGCATAAGAGACTATAGCCCCCATCCCCCCTGATAGGGGGGTCTGGGGGGCAAAACCCCCCAGTTACATAGCTAGAGATAGATGGTATGACATTTTCTAACCCAACACGTCCTCAACTTTGTCTATTAATATCTCGCTTCGCAGTAGAGAGCGACGATTTTGTCAGAGGAAAAAGTTATTTGGCATGCAAAAACGCGTCGATTGAGCCTACTTTTATCGAAATCGGAGGTGAGGCCGCTAAACTGGATAATTACCTAGAAAACTCTTATCCTATATAAAAAATGAAAATTTATTTTCAAACATACTTTTGAATTCTGCACTAAAGAGCAATATTAAACGTTAATCTCTAAATTAAAATTAATATTTATTCTATTTAAAATGGTGGTATAAAGTATAATGGTGGTAAAAGTACATTTCTGTTTGAATTATGAAATTGTCTCACACTATGATTATTTTTGGTTATGGAAAGTATGTATCAAATATAAATCCAGTCTGAAATATATAGTTGATTCGATATAGAGTCAATGTCAATATTAGTTTTTCGGCATTAATTCGACATGGAATTAATTATGTTTTAGACGATTTATATTTACGACGTATCTCCATAACTAAAAATAATATCCTCAAATATAACCTCAATTATAGCGTGAAAACTTCACAGTTTAATCAGAAATATTTTATACTATAATCTACGTTACTTTCTTGACGAATAACATCAAATATGTAATAAAAACTTTTTTTAAATAATATTAACATAACACATTTCGCAAGATTATCGATTTCTTCTTTATATATATTCTTTATAAAACGATGTTAAAAAAATCTAATTCTTATATCGTTTTGATGATATAAAGCTAATGGCACACTATTTAATTTTTTCTGTGTACATTAAAAAAAAGCAGGATTACCTTTCAGAAAAATGGAGAAATTTTCATGCCGGCCAGAGCAAGCAGCAAACAGCCAGCGGAGAGATCGAAAATGGAATTACATATGCAGATGGCGTTGATAGAGGGAGCGAGTTAAGGTGCGTTCGGTAACGTTACCTTGGTGCTTCCTCCCTGTTTTTATTTCACTTTAGTATCTCTCTCATTCCAACGTAGCGGATACTCCCTAATGAACCAGTCAAATATTTCGACAATAATTTTAGAAAAATTATTGTCGAATAATTTTTAGAAAAAAAATGATTAAGAAATATAGAAGTGGTTTAAAAAATCTATCAGTTGATATGATATTTATTTACATAACTTTGAAGAGTACTGTCAACAAAATCTGGTCTGCGAGTGCCATAACAAGGATAGCATATGGACGTATAAACTTGTCCATTTCAAGATATCCCTCCGGTGTCCACTAATGTATATTCTATGGACATCTTATAAGGTCCATGGATATCTCGACCAAAAATGGACAGAAAACGGATGTCCATAGGATATCCTGTGCTGTCGGTATCTGATATTATCCTTGTTAATAACTCCATAGTTTTTCTTAAAAATTACGGTAAACATACTTCGCAACTTTTAAAGCTATTATGTATTAAACATATAACCCCATTCTCGTACACGCAAACTGTCACTTGACATTGCCGCGATGACAGTCACTAGTCGGTAAATTAGATAATCACTCCGACATCCCGCCATCTAACGGAGAAACATAGTCAACGGACATTTCTATGATTAGGAGACGACGTTTCTGTGGTGAGAAGATGACGTTTCTTACGCATAAATTCATGATTTCAGACTTTGAGCTAATAGCATGTTCGACTGGCTCTTTTTTTTTATAACTCAGGGGAAAATGCATTACGCATTCCCCGGAGACCCGGGGAGGTCTCCGGGGGTATGTGGGACTCCCCTCCCCTTCTCTAAGAAGAGGGGGGAGGTATACCTACTAAGAACCCTTGAGTGTGTTCCACTTCGCGCCAATGGAGCGGCCCTCTGGCATCACCTTTCGGCATTCTTCAGGGGGCCGTCTTGCGCTAGCGCTTGCAGCGCTCCTTACCCTGTGGGGGGGAGGATGGCGGGGGTGTATGCCCCCGCCAGTTACCCGCCCCACCGATTGTGCCGTACCGTGGCATTTGTACGGCGACAGGCGGACACACGACCTCTCGCCGCTCCCCTCCCGTTGGTTGTGGGGGGGGGGGTCTGAGTTTGCCGACGGCAGGAGTCCACGCCTGCCGTCGGCCCTCCCTGGGAACGTTACCAGCACCACTCGCAGAGGGGCTGGGAAAGGAGGCGCCCAAGGACGCGCCTCCGAGATCGGAGAACGCCCAGAGCGTCTAAGCGCCCCCCATCCGTCCCTCTCGGCGAGTGGGGTGGGCTTCACTCTCGCGTCCTGAGTCTTCGTGACTCCGAACTGGCCCATCCAAGCAGGCGGGTGGCCGAGCGAGGGAATGGGGACATCTCTGGGGGGGTATGGTGGGAAAGAGGAGAGAGAATGTTATAGGGGAAAGATGGGGGGTGTGAGGCCCTTTCCCCACCCGAAATAGCAGGAAGGGGGCGCGCACGCAGCGCACGAATAGAGGGGGAGCCCGCGCGCGCGCAAGCAAGCAAACAGCAGTGAGGGTGGTAGGTGGGCGGTGGAATGAAGGGTGAATATTTGGGGGGGTTGTTTAAGTATAGGGGTGGAGTGTCCTCATCCCCCCCCGGCCGCGGCGCCGGGAAGGGGCTTTTCCCCCATGAGGGAGGGGACACTCAATTTGGGTTCCCCCCTTGCCTTTGTCTGTATTTGAGGTGGGCGGGAGGGGGCGGGGGCGCCACCTGCGACCCCGCCTTACGTCGTTCCGTGGCACCTCATCCGCCTCGTCCTCCTCCGAGCAAGAGGTGGAGGGAGGGAGTGGGACAACCTCAGCCTCCCTCCTTCTGACTCTTTCAGCGGCCTCCTTTTGCCCCATGACGGTGGAACAGAAGGAGGCCATCGCCTCCCTAGCCTCTTTGCTTCCGATCATGGCCTTGACCACGGCCGGAAGCGAGAGGTCTCTGCCCACCACTGCGGTCAGGATGTCCCGCTCTACAGCCCACGCCTGGCACTCGGTCAGGGTGTGCTGCGCGGTGTCCCGACCGGCTGCACAGTGGTGGTAGTGCGCCGTACGCTCCTTACCTATGCGACACAGGTACTCCCCGAAACAGCCGTGTCCGGTGAGTACCTGCGTCAGGTAGAACTTTAGCCCGCCGTGAGCCTTGTCAACCCATTCGAGTAGACAGGGGCGGATGGCCTCGATGGTCCGCCTGCCTGGCACGTTGCCCCCCCCCCCCAGCTGCTTTTTCCAGAGCAGGAGGGCCCCGCGCCGGTTTATTTCCCTCCCTCGGAAATAAACCCGGACTATGTGGACCAGGTAGAGAGGGAAGCGATGGAATCGCATCGCCTCCTACACCCGGTCCCAGGGGGAGGGAGTTAAATGCATTCGTTATGTCTAACGAAACTGCCATCACTACCCTCCCCTGTTCCACCTGTTCCTCCGCGAAGGCCCTCACACGGAGAATCGCGTCTATCGTGGAGCGGCCCACGCGGAAGCCATATTGAGCGTCGCCCAAGTCCGGGCCCTCCCGAGAGAGGTGCCGGACGAGGCGGAACACAATAATTCTTTCGAAGAATTTGCCCACCTCGTTCAGTAGGCAGATAGGCCTATACGCGGAAGGGGCGTCCATGTTCGACTGGCTCTGGGTTAACCCACTCTGGATTATTCAGCCTACGTTTATTGGTCGAGCAAGTACTTATAAACTTTATGATTGGCTAGTAGAGACTTATGACGTCATTAATCGCT